CAGTTAAGTCCAGTATAAAATAACAAACATTAACATTTTCTACATTCAACATGACAGGAAGCATGTCCAAGGTTAGTACTTCTATGATTTCACTGGACAACTATTATCTTGTTGCATACAGATACAAATTTAGTATATTACCTGTGACTATTACCCAACCCATACTTGACATGAGAAGAAACATCATACACGGATCATTATTATTCTATAATAATCTTCAATTTTATGATGGTACCACCTCTACCATACTGGCAATTCACTCAACAAATGGCAAATGTCTGTGTGCTACTGTACTAGTGCAAGAGACACAACAGTGACTAAAACAGTCAATTCTTGACCTCATTCTGCACTAATTTGTGCTCAGACCAGTTGCTTCTTGACTCATAGTAACCTCATGTGATGGGGTAGAACTTCCCCATTGGGTTTCTTAAACTGTGATCTTTTCAGAAGCACATCAAGTCTTTCTCTTGCTGAGCCAGTGGGTGAATATGACCAGTGAAATATCAATTAGTAGTCAAATGCTTAACCACAGCACCACCAGGATCCCACACAAACTGTAATAATGGAATGGAAAGTAAATTGTCTTTTTTAAAAATTCCCTACTCTAACAAAAAATGTTCTTAGGTGCGGTTGAGTTGATTTGCCTCATAATGACCTCATATGATAGGGCAGAACTACAGGATTTTCTTGGTTGTAATCTTCATAGTTTACAGGAGTGGCGTCCACTTCCTAAACCACATGCCTCTGGAAACTATGAACTTGGAGAAATGATAGTTATAGAAAGGCTTCAGGTCTTTTATTCATAAGGTCATGCTCGACTCGACGACAATCAACAACAACAATCTTCACAGAAGCAGATATGCATTGGAGCCATGGGGTGGGTTAAAACTACCAACCTTTTGGTTAACTGTTTAATGCTTAAACATTGCCCCACCAGGACTACTTGCTCTAAAAAAAGTAACATTTATGAAATAAAAAAATTCCACAGGAAGTTACTCTAACTGCTAAAATTAAGGTTCTATTTTACCATAAAATGAAAGTCTCACTTGAGTTTCTCCCAAGGTTAACTGAGTTAGATCTCAAATTAGCACTATTTTCTCCCTTAATCCTACAGGTGGGGTATACTTGCATGTAGACAAAGAGTATATCAGAGTAACAGACCACTCCTGCTAAGCAAGAGAATAACATCTACACTTCAAAAGGCAATATAGTTATAATTTTTTTAAAAAAATCCATACTTTTACCTCACTCTAACCGATCAATAGGGAGCTCTGGTGGCCTAGTGAGTAAGGAGCCAATCCAAACCCAAAGGCAGGAGATTTTGAGTCCACTAGTTGCTCTGT